CTGGAGGACATGCGCACACACCGTTTGTGCCATCGCGAGCACAAACGGCATTACTCAGACACCTCTGAGGGTGTGACGCACACAGACAAGGCGCTCACTTGAGAGTAAAACCATACCAACCTCTGTAAGCACGTCCATTCAAATGTTGAAATCAAATTGCGTTGATCTGTCTTCGAAACCGCTATAACTGATTTCAGGCAGTGTCACTAAGTCAACCAGTCGCCTTGTCAGCAGCGAACTCCATTTACAGTCACGTTGGTAAATCCAGTTGATAGACTGAAGGCATCCGACTTGCCCAAGTTAAAAAAATTCATGATAGCAGAGATATGCGTTTCCATTTTCAAACAAAAATATGACATTTTCTGATAATGCGATGGATTGTGACCTATTGACAATTGAGCCCCCATAATTGGTGGTCTAACGCAAAACCATAGAAACGGAAATAGGATTTAATCAAGTCTAGATGCGGCCCTCAATTGGCATAACGAACGGGTTCCCTTTTTGAGCTAGTTATCCCGAAAGCGACTCGAACGCGACACGGCGAAGGCATGATTGTGCAACCCCAAGTCCGTGGTCCAACCACCCAAACAATTGTAGGACATTACACCCAAAAACACGCTATTTGCTTCAGCCAAACCCACCAGATTTCGGTTAGGGGAGGCGATGTCTACGGTCTTCAATGAACTGACAACTGCGCCTTCAGAAGTATCTCCCAGCACAGTGTCGAGGTGCCCATGGAATCATTGAATCCGAATTTCCAGCTCTTGCGGTTCAGAAAACCACGGCTGTTGACTTTCGCTTGGGTTTTCTGCGTCGCAGTTGTAACTCATGCTAATTTTCTGTGTGCGGGAAATCAGAGTTTCGCAAATAGGCCTTTGCTTGGCACATTTTTTTTTGCCTTCACACACCAATGACCCTTAGGTTTGACTCGTAACTGTGTGTGTGGCGCTATAAGTGAAGTGCTGCGCGAATTTTCTTCAATGCCACAGCTAATAATGACCTGAAAACAACGATTAGAGGAAGTTAAACCGACCAAACTTAATGAAACAAAATGGCATTATGCATGTTTAACTTACCTGAACAGAGGAAACGAAATCTGATGAAGCCTTTTTGCGGATAAGTCGATTTCTCCTGAAGTTAAGATGACTCTAAGCTGCATTGCCTGTTAGTGATTTATAATTTTGAGCGAAATTTGCCCGGTTGGTTGGCTGATTCTAGCAGAAGCATTTTACTTCTAAAATGGCCTGAATTAGACCTTAGTGGCATTGAATTATGCGTATCGTTGTACAATTTCGATTGCTACCAACAAACTCACAGAGCTTTTGAAATCTCGTCTAAGACAATTTTATCTATCAACATGGAAGGCTTGACAGAAGTCCGACAATTTGTGTATTTTCTCTGGATGTGTCAGGACGATACTGGGAAGAAAGCCAAGATAACACAAATTTATTGAATTAAAAAGCATTACTTCGAGCCGAAAAATCGGTGATTGGTAGATTAAAAATATTGCGGAAACCTAAAGAATTTTGAAAAATTTCGAAGATTATTTGTTTGAATTGCCCGATATAATTTTTGATATTATCGTCTCTTTCGATGGAAATATTTGGCCAGTTTAAGACGCAATTTTTAGGTTTGTCCCCAAATCTCCAAATTACTAACACCTCCAGTCATTTTTCTTGCATATTCTTAATTTTTTTTCACAATAATATAATGTAATTGCAAAAACTATATACTGGGTTTGCGAAAAATGATGATTAAAAAATGATCGGCAAATCGTCAATTTTAAAAATCTAGATAGCCAAGTATTTTCACAGCAATCCAAGTTTCTTTTAAAAGATGTATTTTTCGATCAATTATTTCCAAATATTGTGTGATTAGGATTGAAAATGTTTACTAGTGGAATCGATAGTACAGATTATTTAAACATCTCAGGTTAGATACAATCCCCGTGTAAAGTGCAAGCCATCACTTCTAGGGAATATCCGTACCATCACCAGCCATTTTAAAAGGCTTGTGGCTGTTTTTTCGTTAAAAATTGGTCGGTGGGTGTTATACTACTTATTATTTGTCGTGACATTCAGTTAAATTATTTGAGGGCAAGCAGAAAAGTCGTGTTACCGCGCGCACAAGCAGTTAAGGTGCTACACCAGACCGCCTAACAAGATTAGGTAGTGGAACCTGCCAAATGGTTTTCGTTGGTGAGTGAGCAGGTGTTTTCTATCAATAATTGAAGTACTCCTTAAAATTTTCCACAACTCCAAGTCAAGCACACAATTCGCCACTGGCCTCGACAATTTCGCTCTCCCCAACGACACTCTCATTCACATTAACTTGGGGTATACCTTAAGCATAAATTCCACATAAAATATCATCTTTTTTTTTAAAAAAAATGAGACTGTCGTTTTTTAAAATTGGTCAGACCAAATTTGCCACTTAGGCAATAGTGAAATTATCAAACGTAAATGACATTTTTACATAAAAAACAGAGCATGTTGAAATAAATTGAAATACAATTAACTTATGCCATGGTTTCTTGGCAATTAAGGAAATGGCTGATTCCTTACTAATGCAGTAACCGTGTTGAGACTGTGGTGTGTACCAAAGTGGCCTTTCTGTGAGAAATCTAAGTGCTAATTATCATCTCACAAGGAAGTCATGGGAATTTGTGCTACTGGGCAGGTTTTTTTCGCTAAAATGACTCATGTTTTTGAGGAGGTCGTGTTTTTAGGAATCCTCACACTGGTAGCTGCCTCTCATCAGTCACATCCATTGATTTATAAGTGCTGCCTCTTGCCAAGACCGAATCAAAGGATCCGCAATAGGAGCATTTTAGAGTAACTAACTCTTTGCTACTACAAATTGCGTTGCTACAGTTTACCTACGCCACATTGACTCAAGTTTTCTGAGGTGTATGAGAAATTCGTGAATTTAAGTGGCAGAATCGCAGCCTCAGGGGTTAGGAGTCACATTCTCTGTCAACGCCAAATTTTGTTATGTGAAGATTTCATTTCGATTCTCAAAGTTGTTAGTGGAATTCACCTTTGAAGGTTAAATCCTCGTCTACAGTGGGGGCATGCCAAGTGACAGATCGTTTGCTTCCAAGATATTGGTTTAGTACTTAATCACTGACAGGGAATAGGCTTGTTTGGATTGGCCAAGAATGGAATTCCGTCGTATCCACGATATATTCTTGTGAGAGACTCAAGCCACCATGGCAGTGCGTCTAAAAGTTAGCCGAGTGAATGGCATTTCACTGGCATTACCGAACTAAACTCAACGCGATCCGCGTAAACAGCGCAATTTTAGACCACCCTGGCGTTGTTTCTGTACCCTCTGGACTTAACCTCAAACCTGCCTGAGTCGGGGGTTGTCAGTTTGCTGTGCACAAAACCACCGAGGATAGTGGAAAGAGGAGAGATCGGTTTTTTAGCTCACTCGTCAAAACCAAACTGCCAATGGTTCGCGGGCAAATGCCTTTCGATGAAATTCCCCGATTGAAGTCAAGCGGGGACGTCAAATGTCAGTGAGTGGCACTCACGAGGTCATGTGAGGCCTAGGTGTCACGTGACGAATCCTTGAGTAGCAGATATGGGGAATGAGCTCCTTCGTGATTGTTGGATTGCAAGTCGGAGGTCTGGACTGTGTACTTCAAGTGTCCCTCTTGATCAATTAAACTTTACGGGATCAATGAGTGCTTTGAGAGGGCTTAAAGTACTTTGGGAGAGGTGGGAAATTAGTTTGACTCACAGCCACCTCAACTAGGCGTGTGAGGCTGTGAAATTTGCATAGATGATGCTGTTTTTAGACTGCGGAGTTGATGTTTTAGCTTACCTTAATCAATATGGTTTGGAAAAAAACCAGGATTTTGGTGTTAGTGGAATGCACTGCAAATCCACGCGTAAATATGGCATAATTTTGACAGCAACGGATATTCCTGCCAAGAAATCGCGTTACCTGGATCAAAGACACACACACAGAAGTGTAAGAAGTGTGTGTTTGTGTGTGATAATGTCACGTTTAACGCAGGGGACAGTCTACATTCGATCTACAGTGTTCAGGTTTCGTGGTTTCGCGTGGGTTTGGCAGAGAAATTGGCAATGGCATTGGGATAAGTGATCATTTAGGATTTAGGGAAGTCAGTTCTTGGTGTTCTAGAAGTTTTGATTGATGTCCCGAGGTCCACCTTTTAAAAAGAAATAAAACAGTTTCTAAAAATATCCACGATTGGTTAAGCTTCTCTGGACTAGAGACGGGCGTTTGATTACGACTTGTCAAGCTGCCCCAAAACCTTAGTTGGTGTTCTTTTTGACTTTCACAAAGTCAAGATCTTAAAATGACCATAGACGCCTTGATCTTGTTCCGGACATACATAAAACTGGCGTAAATTGGTATTAAGGGGCACTATTTTTTCTAAACTAGACGATAAGGTTGTCTGTAAAATCTATAATCACCCACTTTTTTGAGGTTTTCGACAAGGAAGGAGGTGTAGTAATATTTTGACAATGAAATTGACCCTGTAACAGGGTTATAGGCATTTGGCCGAAATTGTTCATACATGGCGTGGCTCATTCACGGCAAGAGCTCAAACGCACACAGGCTGAAGATTGTGCAAGTGGGCTGTTTTTGCATCTGCCAGAGGCTAACACACTTCTGTTCTGGGGGGTTGATTCATTCTGAGCTTACGTGCGCACCCACACACTAACACATGCACGCACACACACACACACACACACACGGAGAGAGATCGAACGCCCCCAAAATCTACACAATCGCGATACCAATTGGCTCTCGGCGTTACTCTAAAAGGCCATTCTCACGATTTGGCGCGCATACTTACGTGGTTAGCGACGCTAGCGCTTGACACACGGCCTTTCGCAAACATCTTCTCCTCACACATCATCGAGCTATTGCCCTTACTACCTTCATTTCGATTAAACCGGGACTGCTTGTAACAAGGAAACATACGCGTATAAGTCAACGTGAAACACCACAGCGTCATCATGGACGCGGGAACTATTTTCGACGATCGACCAAGGGCAGAAAACTTGCCTCATCTCCTCGTAAGTGCCCAATTTTTTGCCTTACTCAACATTCACGTACTCTAAACCAATCAATTAACACGCTAGAACAAATCAGAATCAGGTTGTACTGGGTAGAGCAAGAAAAGAGTTTGGTGGCTACATTTGTTGTCTGACATTGAAGACGTTGTCATTGGAAATATTATTTCATGGTTCCTGTCAAATTCGGTTGAATAGTGGCTCATTCAAGCATCAGGCATGAAGCGCCGTGGCTTCTGTAGCAATATTCTTAGAAATTCCCTGCACCGCAGGCAGTTAATGCGTAAACACCTCAACTCTACCATGTGATGCGTGTTACGACATTGGTTGTGACATCCTGATCAAAGTAACGTTCTCCTCAAAACTGTTCCCTGTCTTCCAGAACTTGCCTTCCCGAGTTAAAGAAATATTCTTTATAATGAATATTGCCCCACAACAGACCTCAGACAATTTTTAGATGCCAAAATCAATTAATACACTCGTTGGTTTAGAATTCCCATGGTTGTAACTAAACATTTACGCTTGTCAGGGCAGTCACAGATGTCATTTTTTAATGCTTGTCACTTCATGGCTTTGAACGTTCACGTATTTATTGATTTTTGCGCAACTTTCAGTCGGGGATTAACATGGAGTACATTGGTGAGACCCACCAGGCTCTTGAACAGGAACTCGACTATCAAACCTTCCTTGAAAGTGAACTCAAATCGCGGGTGTCTCGAGTAAGCCTTTAAGGTCTACGCTAAGCGTCGAACAATGCGTCGCCTTCATTTCTAGCTGCTAATGCTCCTTTTTTTGCCCCCCCCCTTCAGGGACTGTACTCCCAGCAAGACGCAGCGAACCTCCAGATGCTGATTGATTTGAATCGTGAACACCTGGAATCCCTCTCCCCCATCACGAGCCTGGAACACATCTTTTCGGTGAGTTGGAAATCTGCCGTGCATGTAGGAATATGAGTTGACTTCCCAAATAACTCCTGTAAGAGGTGCCAAGTGACAGAAGGTTCTTTTTGGTTAAAAAAAGCGAATTCTAGTGAGCTTAGTCACCTCACGCACGTATGGATCATGTTCTCGAGCACCTGCTACCGCCAACTTTAGCATTTAACGTCCTACAAACTCGATTTTTTGCTTCCAAACACCTCACGCCACCTCTCTTTCACGCTCTATTTCGCCTGTTAAAGCGAAACTACATTGATCAATTAGGCTGGTCTGGGTTAACTGGCCATTCGTGATACCAAGGTCAAGTAATTTGCGAGATAGGAAAGCTAAATAACTGATAAAAGCAAGATTTTTTGACTCCTGAGATGGCGTTAGTAGGGGGACATCAGTTAGATGGGAATAGGTCCTCTCCAATGTATATCGGAGTACGATTAACCGCGCAGAACAGAACCAGGGATTAGGTGAATAAGTGTGATTTTAGCAAGAACCAGTGAGCAATGGCAAAGGCTCACAGACACCTTGTGTGTGTGTGTGTGTGTTAGCGTACACACACTTGCACGGTGGCATTTGGCAATATGCAAATTCACGTTAGTGTTTGCATTAACGAGAATGCGGTCAGTGGTGTGCCTACCCAAGAATAACGCATTTACCGCCGATCACCGTTAGTGTAACTTTTCGGTTGTAATTTGTTTGGTTGCTTTATGGCTGATCAGATCACGATTGTGTGATTACGAATTTGAATCGTAACTATCTATGGCATTTAATTAAGTTGTTTTATGGAATTTTTATTTATTTATAGCAAATCACCCAGAAAATATCAGATCGAGCGGTTGACCTTGTGAACTTTCGTGATAACCCCGCTTTTTGGGATCGCGTAAGTGAAACTCCCAGCAAAAATTTAAATTTCACGCACGTACTACTACTTACGTAATCAGTAGATGTAACAATGTTTCAATTATTGCAGAACCTCAGCAAAAATGTCCGCAATTGCTGGAAAACCGTCCAACGTTTCTCCTACATCAGTCGTGTCCACATTTCCAACGCCGCCGAGTACCAAATGGTAAGTAGCACTCTGGGATCGGACGGGTGAAGGTTGCTTCCACCAATACTTACCCCAGTTTTTTTTTCGTGGACTTCAGTTCTACTACAACTGTGATCACTTCGTGAAATCACTTGAGAAGAAAATCGAAGTGAGCTATAATCGATCTAGAAGCATTGATCTCGACTACCCGTCAGTCACTACCAACCGCCTTAACTCTCTTATGACCGTAAGTTTGAGCGTCTTTCGTAGTGTCATTGGTATTCCCCCCCCCCCCAAAAAAAAACGGTTCCTCACTGTTCCTTGGTGTCAACAGGAGAGTCTCTCCAGCTTCCAGTCGATGGCCGCGGACGTGATGCGTCTCCTGGACAAAGCCAAGCACATTAACCCCGTCTACCTTCGTCTACGTCCCCTGAACCGTCCAGCCTCAGGCATAATGCTGTGCGACTATTCCACGAAGAACTTCAGTCTGCGCACCGGACAGCACGTCTACGTCTTGGACAACGCCACCGGCAGCTCCATGGCCACTAGTTCAGCGGAAACGGAGGAGTCTGAATCCATTAGCGTCAGCAGTTGTTCGCGTTGCTGTCACCACCAGCACCCCGGATGCGCCAACTGCGGACAGCCGCTGTCCTCAACCACCGGCACGACTACCACAACGACAGAAATCACTGGCGAGTCGGCAATGACCACAGACAGCAACTGGCAGGAGTCAGACGAGACGCCTGGCGACGTGAGCGAGGTCTCGACGACAGCCGGCAGCTCCCCCGAGTCGGGCGATGAATCCACCGCCCACGCGTGCAGCCACACCCTCTGCAGCCAGCGCGAGCCCCTGATGTGGAAGGTGCGCACGTTGGACGGCAGCCTGACGGTCGATGTGCCGGCTGTCACGGTGATGATCAACGAAGCCGACGAGGAAGCCATCAGCCATGCATACGAGTAAGTTCCTGTCTTTGCGGGCTTCAAATTGCGCGGTAGGTGTGTTGAAGGCTTCGGCGTGCGGTCTAGAAGGCTAAGAAGTCGTTCACTAGGTGTCCAACTTAGCTGTGCTGACGGGCATATCGTAAAAACGGGGCAGTGGGTATGATAATGCACGATTTACAACCGACTCAAATCAGATCTTAAACTTGGCGACTTTCAGCTCACCAAATGTGCCCGTATTTGCTTCAAGTCTGCGTCGTTTGGTGTGACTTGGAACAGCCAAAAGCTAAAATCAGGGGATAGAGAGAGGGCCGGGAGCCCAGAGTGGTCATGTGATTAGGTAGTTGGATGTGTGCGGGTATGTCCGGGTACAAGCGTGGAGATGCCATGACCATCTCGTGACGTTTATCAACCCACCAATCACGCTAGCAGCTGCAGTCAGGTGGCATCCCATTTGTCAAAACACGCCTCCCATACTGGCAAACACATGATTTGAGTATTCTGCAGACGAGGTCTTCACGCTGCTCGTTGTCTATTGGTTAGATTCAATCTCTATCATCTGATTGGGTGATTAAATCCCGCCTTTGAACAGTGATAAAATTTAACGAAATTAACGTTGATTGACTAACTGTGGTGTCAAGACTAAATATGCTTCTTTTTTTGTCCACAGGATTTATGACCACTTCACAAATATGTGGCGAGAGTCGATTGATATCTGGCTCACAAAGGGTGTGCGCGCTCTCACTGGATTCTTTTCGAATCTCCTTGAATCCAAGGTGAGTCACTGGCGCACCCATTTTTAGTTGATTCGTGTGTTAAGGATGCTTGCCGATGCCGTGTTTTATCGTCACTCTAATTTGCATTGTAGTATGTACGCGTAGAAAGCCAGAAGGTCTTTGAACAACTGCTGGAAGAAGTTCAAAGGGCCTTTCCGTACAGCGACGCCGAAAGTGGAACTGCCAATCTAGCCCTGAAGGAGCTAATTACTAGTTTGAAGGAGAAAATACGGAGGCAGGAGACCCGTAAGTTGAATGGCAATGCGTCGTAATGTCACTACGTATTTAGGTGAGGAATCGACAGAAGATGTTTTCGTGAAGATCACAGAAATCGCCTCCTACAGAAAAACCGTGCAGAAGTTAAGGGTAAGCTTTAGAACCTCTATTTAACGCGCCGATCACCTTATTCAAATTACTCAGTTTTAGTCTTGTGGTGGGCAGCAAGCCATTCGTGAGCGAACACAAATCAGTCGATTTTTTTCTCGTGAACGCACTGTAGTGGACAGCCAGCCACCTCGCGTGATTGGCGCGTGACTCACCCTCTTTGTTATTGGCTCCTGTCAGCAGTCGCCTGTTAAGCGCGCGTATCGATGCACACACAATAATTAGTTACTCGATTTTGCGCGGCTTGCTTTTTCTGTCGTGACGCGAATGAAACGGTCGTGTTCTCTGGCGACTCTTTTGTCTTCCCACCTCGCGGGTTGTACCGCCTGTTAACTATAGTGCTCAGGTCGGCCGCTACAGTCTTTCGTAGAGGTGAATTTAGAGGGACCTTGCCGAGATATTGACACTTGGTACCATGCAGGTCCTGAGTGGATTTCCAGGCTGGCACTGCAGTGAATTGTGCTGATCCGAGTCCATTAACCAGGTCACCGTATTCTCCGCAACACTGAATCCTTGTCACAGTGGCCTTATCGACCTTGTTAAACCGTCTGGTCATGCACTTCGTTCGTGTACCTCCCCAGGCTGCTCTTCGTGTCGTTCAGACTATCGATCGACGAAACCATTTCGTCAAACACGTTTTTTTATGCGCAGTGGCGGGCATCAGTGTAGATTATTCGGGCCAATCTAATGCAGCGTCCCCGAGCTGGCTTCAACACCACTCACTGCAGTACATTATCCCTGAAGATTCATCTCCAAATGACGAAGCGTCTAAGTTGTGTAGCCTTGTCTACACATCTTGCAAATGATGTTAGCCACTACACTGTACCAATGATACCTCTCCTTTAGCAACGGAAAGATAATTTTCTGATCTTAAGAAGGCGATCCCACAATTCTTTTCTAGTTACCTGATGAACGTGCCACCACGTTCGTTGACGTGTCATGGAGTGCTGCCAATGACACCGTCATTGACGATTACAAAATGATCTAAAACTAATCATTTTGAATTTAAGTTTTGTTTGGCGTGGAAGTGGAAAAAGGATTTCCCACTCATGGTTTTCTAATCACCCTAAATGTTGTCATTTACGAAAAACGATGTGCTTAAAACTGTAATTTAATGATTTTAGGACCACGCGAATCACATGAAGAGGTTTATGAAGGAGGCAGATGAAAGCACAAAGCCGGGTCATTTCGAAACCACAAGTTTGAAGTCAATGGGAGAACTGAACTACGTCTAGTAAGATCAATTTAAGCACCTAATTGCCCATTTTTCTAGTGAGGAGTCGGTAGAGGAGCACAGGAAGTTGGAGAAGATGCTCCGTCAGGTGAACGCCTTTCGCACCCAACCGCGTTCAACGCGAGTACCGGTGCGGAAGATAAACACAATATACGGGGAGTACTATTCCTCAGGCGAAGAGATGTCTTCTAGTGGCTCCGAGACCAGTGATTCTCAGTACGATGTCCAAAGACACCCCGCTGAGTCACCGCGACACCGCATAATATACGGCAAAGACATGACCCACCGAGTGACGGCCTTAACAGACAGACCAAGACATATGAGGGGTCCACATCGGTCGGCTGTATTCACTGAAGGCGAAGACTTGCCGACAGATTCCAGTGACCTCTCGGATACTGGAACACCTCGAAGAAGCAGCAAGGTGCTTCTTCGACCACTACATAGGCGTCCCACGGACGAAACGTCGGAAGTGGTTGAGGAAACGAACGATACTGTCATAAGCTCTATGACACTCAAACGGAAGTTGAACTTGGAAAAGGCAATGAGGCAGGGTGGCCAGGAGCTTCCTGTTTCTCCTACTGAAAGCCGATACCGAAGTCGACGTCAGCTTCAATTCAAACCTGGGCCGCAAGATACTGGTGTCTCTATAGTTTATCTGCAGATAACGACAGCTAAAAGCACTCAGGACACAATTGCACCAGCAGATGATAATAAACAGAGCCGAGGAATACAGCTGGACATCGAAAAAATCCCAGTAGACGGCAAGGAGGTGCTAATGGTGGAACAAAGGGTTGCATCCTGGCAGCCAGACGAAGATGGCACAATGCGACTTGAGCACGATATTTCACTAGACGCATCCAAACGAAAGCGAGAAATGCAAGCACAACAGGAAGGGCAAACAGCAGAAGTGATAGTCTCAGGACTTGCAACCAGTCCAAGAATATGCGACAGAGGAGTGCAGATTACAAGTGGTGATAAGTACGAGGGAATAATGAAGCCGCCGCACTACAACACCAAAGACGCATCAACACAGGCCAAATTCAAGACAGCCAGAGATAGCAAAGAAGTGCTGAAAAGCGAAAAAGTACAAACAAAAGCATCAACCGAAGCAGAAACATTGCTTGGAGGGGAAATTCCGATATTACGCCAAACAGAAGAAACTCGAGTAGAGAGCACTGCACCAACAAAAGAAGTCACCGTAGAGAGAATTACGGTCAAAATGGCGAAGACACAAACGCCAGTTCTGAAAATGCACAGAGCATACAGAGAAACAGAAAAAATTCAAACTGAACCTCAGAGCCTAATAAGAAAAGAAGGACTTCCAATGCTGCACACGGTGCCACCACTGACATCACTCGCAGCACAACCCGACGAGGCATTGACGACAACGCGAGTGGAGCACACCGACGTAGCAGTGAGTGCACCGAAGACGGAGGTAGTCACGGCCATCACGTCGGGTGTGGAACAGCCAGC